CAGCACTCATAGACACAGACATACCGTTCCCCTGCCTCAAACCCCTAACCCCATGCACACCCCTAACCTCCTTCTGGTGCATATCCATTGTGATGATGTGAGTGAAGCCGGCCTTACAGATCAACTTCGCGAGGAGTTTGGCAACAATGGCGCCCCTCTTCCGCATCTTCGACTGCTTGCCGTACGGCAGGTATGGTATGACTCCCACAATGTTCTTGGCTGAGGAGGTCTTACACGCGTAGGCCATAATCAAGAGCTCCATTATGTTGTTGTTCACGTCCTTACCGCCCGTTTGGATCAGATAGCAGTCCCGTCCCCTCACGGAGTCCCCGATGTCCAGCACTGTCTCCCGATTGGTCGAGTGGTAGAGGGACTGGGAGGCCAGTCGTACGCCCAACCGGTTGCTGATCTCTTTGGCTAACTCGCGGTGAGAGTTGCCGGCGATTAGTATCATATCGGATGAGGTGCCGGCCATTGGGTATGTCTTCACTGGCGATGACTATCACCGCAAAGTCAATGGATATGTGATTATTGTTTACAAAGTGTTGTGCGAAACGTGTGAACGCTTTGTCCCACAGATGTCGCGATGTGTTGACAGTTGTCTCTCCCTCGCCTCCCTCTCCCGCACTAACCAATGACTCTCTCAAACCCTCTCTCCGGCTCTCTCTCTCTCTCGAAGTCTCTCTCAAACACTGAATAACTTTCATAACTAACTGACAATTACTAAACCAATAGCTCTCTCGTAATAAACCACTTGTTGAACACAATTAACTATATTTATGATTACATTGGTCGAGTGGTAGAGGGACTGGGAGGCCAGTCGTACGCCCAACCGGTTGCTGATCTCTTTGGCTAACTCGCGGTGAGAGTTGCCGGCGATTAGTATCATATCGGATGAGGTGCCGGCCATTGGGTCCGCTGTTGGCGATGTGGTATGTCTTCACTGGCGATGACTATCACCGCTTCGTCAATGGATATGTGATTATTGTTTACAAAGTGTTGTGCGAAACGTGTGAACGCTTTGTCCCACAGATGTCGCGATGTGTTCGCAGTTGTCTCTCTCTCGCCTCCCTCTCCCGCACTAACCAATGACTCTCTCAAACCCTCTCTCCGGCTCTCTCTCTCTCTCTCTCTCTCTCGAAGTCTCTCTCAAACACTGAATAACTTTCATAACTAACTGACAATTACTAAACCAATAGCTCTCTCGTAATAAACCACTTGTTGAACACAATTAACTATATTTATGATTACAATTAACACACAAAAAACAAAAACATAACTCATTTGTTAGACTTAAACACACTATGAGTATGTGATGTGTTTGACATCCAGTCCCCCTTATGAGGTGCAGACCACGTAATTCAATAAATCAAGACAATCGACATACCGGTGCTGTTGGCCGAAGCCATACGTCGGATACACAGCAAGGAGTCGATGTCTTATTTGTTCCGAAATGTCACTCTCGAGGACTGATCTGTGGTTGCCATCGATAACAGTATTACTATTTACTATTGAAACTATTGTTCAAAACTTTTTGGGGAAAACATTTTTTTTATTTGTTTTGTAAACCCTATAAATGTATTCATAGTTTGTTTAATTACTTTCAAATTATTGTACATTATATACCGTAATTACAAATTGTATTAAAATGTCTGCATTTTGTCTATCTAGTGATTCGTAATCTCAAAGCTATTGTTTAATAAGACTTTTAATAATTTTAAACTTTATGGTATTATTATTATTATTACTTTCAATTGAAATATTGTACCATTAAAAAATACGTCTTATAGTATAAAATTTATCTAGATTATTTTCATAATTTTAAGAGTATTTTCCATTTAAATAACGAAATACTATTACCAACTTTAAACTGTTTTAAAACTTTTTCAATTTGTTATCATATCATAAAAGGACCCAAACCTTCGATTTATTTAATATGCCATTCATTAACGATATATTATGAACTTTAAGTACCTTTTAATATACTCTTACATTGGTTTTCTATGGGAGACTGACTACACACCAAAAAGTCTTTTGTTTTGAAACAGATTTTCATTTTCATTGATTTGCGATTAAAACTGATTGACAATCGATGTGTTAATTAGTGGTAAGTCTGTGGTCACCACAACTCACGAGTGGACAACACTTGCCATCAATTCATACACAAAGAGGTGACGAAATGGTAAAGAAATGAACAAATTGTTCATTAAATGCCTTTAACTCATGAGTTACACAGAGAAAAAACTTTTGATGAAAATTGTGGGCTAAAGTGACTATTAGTTACCATACGAAATGTGAACTAAAAAAGTTTTGAGACTTTTATTTAATACTCATTAGATGTGACCAAAAATGAGTGTTTCATTTGATAAACACAATGTTTACTCATTGACTAAAATACATGAATATATGGTTTCAAATGAAAAAGTGAATAATTTTAAAAAGCGAGTTAATACGAATCGTAGTTTTCAAATTGACATTAAAACATGACTTATCAATAGCTACTGGATTTTAAATCAAATGGACACTTGAGTCGCTGAATTTTTATATAAAATAATTTTTAAATTTAAAAACTGTAAAATTGTAATTTGGATGAAATAATGTGAGACAAAAGGCAAATACATATAAATATTTTAAGTTCAAACTAACATATATACTGGTATTAACAGTGTGTATCCGGTTATAAATGAGTGTTTAAATACCCAATAAAATGAATACATTAAAACTATAGTAAGCGTTTACTTGTGACTATACTAAGTATGCATTACGGGAACTGGCAAATTGACCTAAAAACCAATTGACCTAAACTTAAATAACTTAATGACCAATAGACTTTTGACCATTGTAAGAATAGGTAAGGTCAAGGGGAACATTTTACACTGGTCATCTGGTATATTTACCTACTGGTCATTAAGTTATTTAAGTTTAGGTCAATTGGTTTTTAGGTCAATAGAGCCGCACCCGTTTTGCAGTAAAAGCATTCATATCTAATATCATTTAAATACATATATTGATCGAAGATAATGATTAATAATTATATAACTATACTATAAATACGAACATTTATATCGCCATTAATTATACCAAAACATGTAAGAAAGAGATTAAAAATTATTGCAAAATTCATATATAATACGTCAATTCAAAATAGCAAATAAAAGTATTGATTGATTGCAAATAAAAGTCAATATATCGATATTAGTGTTATGCGAACGCACCATAATCAATATACTGCATTAATTTGCATATTTTCAATAACTATAATATACTTGTTGTTCATAAAACCAAATTACTATTAATGTGTCCCGGTTATTGTGTTTTATATGTCCATATTTGATTAATAGCTAAAAATACAAATAATATCTTTTAGAAATGTGCTAGTGGTCATATTAGAGATTTGATTAAAACAATATTTGTATCGTATATAAGTAATGCGCAAATTAAATCATTTTATCGGTTGGCTAAGGAGGACAGGGAGGACAGGGAGGTCAAGAGGACGAAATGACATTAAAATGTATGTAAAAGTGTAATGACAATATTTCCGAAATTAAAATATTTAAAAGTTAATTATCTATTCAATAAATGATATACTACAATTAAATGTACAATTAAATTCACAATAATTGGCACTCATTTGGTGTCAAAATCTAATAAATAAGTTCGTATAGTAATAGTGTGCTAGACAAATAATTTACAGTTTACAAACTGTTCTTGATGTTCTGAATTCATATAAATATTATATTACTACAGTATTATATTAATATGTAAACATTATTAGTTTATATATTTACGTAATTACGATATATAATAATCATTAACTATACTATAATACAACAATACAGTATTAGCTTAATAAAAATATATTTTTCAAAGTTATAATATTGCCTAATTATGATAGTTCAAGGTGTTTAAAAAATGGAAATTGTATATTTTCTTTTTGCATACATTACATAGTTTTAGGTCCGAGAAATGGAGGGCCGGTAGGCCAGGGAGACCGGGAAAACACGAAACCTATGACAACAACATGTATGCAATAGTGAAGCGATACGAGAGGTTCGCGAGACTCACGTATTGTATGGTTTACAGAGATATGGATGAATACGTTGAATACGTATCGGCTGTACGTGAACCTCATAAATGGCGCATATTTATGGTGATAATAACCAGGGTATCGATGATATTAACTGCGTTGAGATTCATAATACAAATGATTACTACGGATCCCGAAATTCTGGACTTATTGCTCGATTGGACACACATTAAGAATAGGAAATTAATTTATACATCATTTGCGTATATGTTTATAAATTTATTTGCCGTGGGGTTTATAACTACCAAACAAGAATTGAACAAGGTAATCTACTTTTTTGAATTTCTTGCTCAATTAAAGAATCATTCAATAAAGCGTCCATTAACTGGCCTTGCTTACTATAAATTTGTCGATTATGAGAGAGTGTTATGTAAATATGGCTTTCCAATAATGCATTATGGTATATTGTTAACTCTACTTGGTGTAGTCTTTGGTAATGATTGTATGGTATTTATAAATGATATTTCATTTTTGAAAATGATCATGATGACTTTGCTGACACTTAATGTATACGTAACGGTAAAAGCAAGCGTAGGGCTATTTGTAATAGGATTTACCGTATGGTTTACGACATGTTATTATTTAAAACTCAAATTTCTGGAGATTTACCGTAAGATAGCATTGAGTGTTAAATACGATAACAAACGGCTATTAATGGCGGCTATCGTTGAACACCATTATTGGGAAATACAGACCAAACGATTCAATCATTTTTTCCGATACATGACTTTTATACTCTATTATATGGAGACAATTGCCATGGAGTTAGTATTATACACATTACATCACCCTAATACTAATATTTTATTTAGAATATTCGCGGCAATTATTCTATGTTTGGCTGGATCTATACTCGTTTACATGAATGTCATGAGCGCCTGGATCTATACGGCTGCTCGTAAGCCATACCCGTTGTTATTGAGATACGTGTCGACACTTAGAACCGTGCTATCAGTGAGCGATAGACTGAAAGTAATGGTATTCATTGAACGCCTGTCCACTGGACCGGCAATCGGTTACTATTGCTATGATTTGTTTCCTATGAATAGCTATGAGTTCTCGCAATATATACTCATTTCCGGCGCAAACTATTTATTAATTATTTCAATGTTTTAAGAAAGTATCATGGCTATTTATGAAATTAAATACTTTGAGAAGAAATGTTTAATAAATAAATATTTAACCTGGAAGTGTTATTTTAAAATAAATGAGTAAATTATTTTTCATAACATTAATAATTATTAAATTCAGATATTATATTTAATGACATGTTAAATTCATTTTATAATATTACTGTTCATCTTAGATATATCTATTGACACACATTTACCACACATTCAGTCGTTTAAAGTGAATGCTATTACAGAACTGAGCGCCGGTATTGAGGAATCGGTCAAAAAGTTGCCAAAACTTAAATGTTTTCAATTCAATAAATAGTTTTGAAGTAAATATTGTAATAAATTATCAATTGTACGCTAATAATAAATACCGTATTTATATTTAATAATAATTTTGTTGTCAAAGTTATTGAAACTTAAGAGTTGTCACACAATTAGTTAAACAATGTTTCTAATGAATGCAAATAAACCATAAATAATAGATTTTATGTTCAAAAATTAAATTTTCATTACATGTATGTATTATCAGATCATTTTAGCAAATTCTGTGTTATATTACTTTCAAACATACAATAAATGGTTCCCTATCAAAAGACCTAATGATCAAAAGACCTAAAATTGTTCAAAAGACCTAATTTTGATATCGAATATCGGATTAAAGACAAAATGCAAAAAACCGACTACAATCCGATATTCCCCTATATAGTCATCTTTTGTTCAAAATTTATTATTTTGATAAATTTTAGGTCTTTTGATTAAAATTAGGTCTTTTGATCATTAGGTCTTATGATCAACTGCCATTATAAATAAAATATAACTAATAATACTTGTATTCAATAAAAATAACTTTATTCATAAGATTGTATTATTTAAAATCTAATATTATTAATAAATCTAGTATTTTATAAAATAATTTATACTGGTAAATGTTTTAACGGTTCTACCCCAAAAGGCCTACTCTGACTTAAAATCTAAATATTTGTTATTTCACTGTATTAATGTGGACCAAAGTTGAGATCTACACTGACACAATAGTATTACATAAATTACGCTAATATATGTGACGTAATTTATACAATATGAGCATTTATTGCATTGTTTGTGAAATTTTGAAAAATGTAAATAAACATAGTTTGGTAATTAAATAAATTACGTAAAATTAGTTTAACGTTATTGTTGACTAAATTAATGAGCGCCAAACATAATTAAACTAATTTGACCTATTTATCACTTTTAATTAACAAGTAAATTCGAATTTTGTAAAAGTAGGCCCTTTAGGCCGTAGGCGTTTTGGGCGAGTCCGGTTTTAACAATAGGTTTTCAATATCTTAAGTATTGAATGCAATTAAAATGATTAGTATTTGTAAATTACAGAAATTATTAATGTTAATTTTCAAAAGTATATTATAAAAACTTATTTTAACAATTTATAGTTTACTATTTACAGCATATAATTAACAAATATTTACACGTATTTGTTATAATTATTAAAATATGTTAGTATTATATTAAATATAAATTTCATTACATTTTAATCTTTCAAACGCTTAAAAACTTGACGTTTTGACGACTTTTTGACGCGAATAGCCTTCAAAAGAGTGGTAAAACAACCAACTCTTGGACGGCATTCCTCGACATCCACTTCCGGACGTTGTGTCACATCAATGGTCTTATAAGTCATCTGATATTCATTGGTATAGTAGTCGAGGAACTGGCGGTAATCGGTGTCCACCACCAGAATATTCTCGTTGGCATTCATTATACGGTACAGAGTATTATCAGGGTCCGATTTGGACACACCTGCTGGGAATGTTACGGCACTCTTATACGACTGTATGTGCTGTACGTCCCGGAACTGGAGTCTAGTTGTCACGGGTTTAGGCGTTTTTTGTACAAACTTTTCGTTGCAATACGTACTATAATTGCCGCAAAAATATAGGAATCCCTTTGAGGTTAGGAAGTAAGTCACGGAACCGGAGGGACAGACACTCTGAACGCGTGGTAAACTAGTAATAAGTCGGGGATTGAAAGCCTGGTCGGTCACGTCGTGTCCCAATTGGTGGCAATCATTGTAACCCCAACTGAATACCTGTCCATCGATTGTCAGCGCGAATGACGTGAAGTGATGGCAATAAATAGCTTTGATTTTGTGGTTATTCTTGAAATTCAGTTTAATTGGTGTCGATATGAATGTGGTGTCGGCGCCGATCTGTCCGCACGTGTGATAACCCCAGCCGTACACCCGTCCCCTGTCTGTCAGCGCCAATGAGTGACAATAACCGCAACTCAGACGCAGAATATTCTTGTCGTCGAAGAATCGGATCCTTTCGGGAGTCATGTGGACATCGTTTGGCTGCCTATCCCTCGCCAACTGGCACTCCGTGTTCTGACCCCACGCGTAGACATACCGGTGCTCAGTGATAGCCAGCACAAAGTTCTCGCCGGTGATGAACTCCAGAATATTCTGGTCACACAATTGCGGGATCAGTTGGGGTGAGTTCACGTGTTTGGCGTGACCTAAGCCGAGGCTACCAAACTGATTGGATCCCTGGCCATAGCACTGGTCATCGGCGGTGAGGAATAGGATGTTCTGTCCGTAATAGTCGTCGAAAACGTGGAAAAGTTTTATTTTATATTTTATTTGATTGGGAATTTTGGCACAAATAGTGAATTTATCTATTAGTGAACACATTTTGTATGCGATTATTAACAGGGTATTTGTTTTGAGAAAATTAATAAATTATAAATTAGTTTAATTAATTTTAAGCACAATTATAAATAGTGTTTTTGTGCATGAAATAGACATTTGCTAGGTTAATGTTAAACACTTTTACAAACATATAGTAAAAACAAAATAATTAAACTTGTAAACACATGAGATATTTATTAATTAAATTTATTAGAGTTAAAAATAGCACTATTTATTGTTTTATTAGTTAATTATGTTTAGCACAAATAGAAATTATTAATAAATCATGTAAAACTTTTTAAAATTATAATTTATAAACACTGTTAACACACTGTATAATCACACAATAAATAGCAAACTATGCAAATACAGTACACGTATGATAGCAATTCATTAAAAAGTTTTAATTTCACTTTTAATTTATTTTATAATACACTGAAATGAGTTGACTTATCAATGTAACTGACAGTACTGTACAGATAGGGATTAAAACTAGTGATAATGTCCGGGTACTATCACAGGACTGGTAGTTTTACAGTACTATTAAAACTTAATAATTGCTGTAATATTAAATAATAAAATACACTTTAGATTACATTTAATTTTGAACTACACAGAAAACACATCACATGTTAAGTGAAGTACAATAATGTTTAATAATTTATAGCAAATGTTAATGAAATTCCTTAATGAATACAAATGACAACTTTGTTAGTATCAGGTGTTATCGCAAATAACATTAATATATTACTGGGAATGACAAGTGAAAAGTATTTCATAAACAACAAGCTTATTTTGTCTTTCATATCATGAGTCAAACTATTTGTTAGTTATATCTCTTTATCTGATTGTTAGTGAGTGAGAGAGAGAGAGAGAGATATTTACTAAATATATAACAATAAATAAATGATAGTATTTATCAAATAAAACTACATGAACCTGGTAATAATTCAAGCTTACAGTATTTTTTAAAAATGTTGTCTTTTGTTATGGTAAACTTGATATTAAATACATTTATAAATATCTATTTATTTTGACAATTACAGATACCTGTACTTAATATTGTTATTGATTTCACAACCTTGTATAATTTATACATTTTCTACAATATCATCAAATAGATTTTATTTAATATACCCTGGTAGTTTTATTAAAAATCAACAAGACCCAATGTTAAGCTAATAAACTAAACATATCAGATTAACTAATTAATTTTTGAAAATTAATTTTCTTACAATAGTGTCTATCCTAAGTTGGGACGACTCGTGGCGTTGACCGCGGGCTCAGAGAACGTGCACTTCGT